ACTAGTGATGGTACCAGTAGAAATCTCCAAGTGACTTCTGTCTGCTCTCAAGCCCTATTCCAGACAGCTATAAAGAAAGAAGAGTCTTCGATTAGACTAGTATCTTGGTTTTCCCCACCATATTGTATCTTTGCCTACAGGAGGATTTTGTACATGTGCAGGAGAGGTGACCCCTTATATGCTTTCCCAGTTCACCATTTCATGAAATAAAGTCCCTGGAAAGAATTTCTCATTAATCTCCTTTCCGTTTTTATGTTTCCTCCAGCTATTGTCCAGGTCCTTCAGAAATCCTACTTCCTTCTCCACTTTTCCATTTGTGCTGCCCCCTCCTACCAATGACACTCAAAACTGATAAACCTAAATGTAGATACATCCGTGACAAGCCAGAGCTGAATGTACAATGTGAAATGAATGTGGACACAGGCAAGAACCAGTTTTAAATATGCTGTGAGGAAGTGTTCCGTTAGCATGCCTCCATGGTCCACACCTGCTTCCCCATTGTCTTCCATTACTGCGGTGCCTCAGGATTTTACAACTGCTCACATCAACATACTTTTTTGGTTTCTGGTGCAGTCATAGCACATTTTTTTTGTGGCGAAAACCAGCAGTTTCATTTTTGTATTAAATAGATTCTGTGGGCTAGTCTCAGAATTTGAGAACAATAGCACCATGGTCTCTGTTGTAAATAGTCAGCTCCCGAGTGACCTTTCAGACCATGACCTGTTCATGAGTTGGAGATCCTGTTATTAGAAAGATGAAGCCCAAACTCTCACTTTGAGAGATGATTTTCCTTCCTTTGTGTCACAAAGGACAAAGCATTTCCATTATTTTATTTTATTTTTTTACATTATGTTCCATTCATCTTAGATTGTCAGCCCACAAAGGGCAAGGGGCAGCCTTTGCCAGGCTTGAATTGTGGTGCGCAGAATCACATAAATATTACTTTGACAATGATGATGAACTTGTTATTGTCTGTGTTGTAGAGCTACGTGATTGACTTAGAGTAATTTTTTTAAATCGTTTTTTTCTATTTTTGGTTTTAAAAGTCCAAGAACTCTGTGATTGAGTTTCTCTGTAGTGCTTAAAAGTTTTAAAATGTGAATTTGTTGCTTGCGTGAACAAACAGTATCACTGAAACTAAGGTATGAGTCCCTACTTCATAGAACGGTTGTGCTTTTCATCTTCTTCATAGAAAATATTTCCAAGTCTATATGAGGATGTTTCTCACAGCCGTTAAATTTCAGATAAATTGTCAATAGGTACTAAACAGATTATTATTTTATAAAGGAATAACAGGAGTGATTATATGGAGCAGTTTATGGTATGATTTTCAAGATGATTATGCTCTACATTTAACACTTTGATTTTACATAGGTATTTTTAAAAGACCTGGTTATAACTTCAGTTTATATGCATGTTTGTTAATCCAAATTTTTTTTTAACGTAATAGCAAGTGGGCAGTAATGAACTCAATACCATACAGTAGTTTGTATGTGCTATTTAAAATTATACTCTCAAGTCTCATGACTGAAACAATAGTATTGGACCTTTACATTTTCAGTTCTGTGAAGAGTTCATTCTCTGTGATCTTTTCTGTAGTTACTAAAGTTGTTCAGTTTATAAGAAAACTAAAGGGAATCAAGGGATCAAGCCAGTGTGTGGTCATGTTTAGTAGACCCCAGTATTACGGGGGCAGGGGAAATACCCCTGGAAAGTATACACTGAAGACTTTTGTATAAAGACATAGCTTCTTTAGAATAACAGGGGACAAAGTGGATTGTCTCCTATTTGTTCAAAAGACTGGTTTCATGCAAAAATGCCTGAAGAAACTTAAAGGGATTTTGTTGGAAAGTTGTATCCACAATGGAATCTAAAAATAACACATAGTGTATTTGATGGAAATGCAAATTGAGGTTTTGTGAAAGCCTGTGTTATCTTGTGAATCTTTGCTTTGCTAAACAAGTTTGCCTGGTTTATGATACATCACACACGACCACTAATAAAAATGGGCCTTTCCTTTTTTGAAATCTTTTGCTTCTTTGCTCAGAACAGCCATTCCCTTTCAACTTTCTCTTTTATAACCTGAAGCGTAAATAGTACACTGTTCATCCATCCATTGACAAGTTTACTTCTCTGCAAGGTGGAGTTACTTGTATAACTTGAAGACTGAGAATGGCTTGCCATTTTAGAGGGTAAAGTTCAAAGTCATGCCTGAACCATATCTTGAAAAAGTGCCACTCTGTAATGTGATCTGCAGTTTAATATCTACTTTTAGGTCTTCTCAGCTATAGGAGGTGACGCTAATATTCTGTGAATCTCTAAAACCTGGGTGCCAATTTTAAGTGGCTTTATTTATTCATGTGTGTGTTCATTCTCTGTTCCTGTACTCAGATACTCGTATATATTGGGTCTTGAAAGTGGATTAGAAATAGTTCATGTTCTCGGGGCGCCTGGGTGGCTCAGTGGGTTAAAGCCTCTGCCTTTGACTCAGGTCATGATCCCAGGGTCCTGGAATCGAGCCCTGCCTGGGGCTCTCTGCTTGGCAGGGAGACTGCTTCCTCCTCTCTCTGCCTGCCTCTCTGCCTACCTGTGATTTCTGTCTGTCAAATAAATAAATAAAATCTTAAAAAAAAAAAAAAAAAAGAAATAGTTCATGTTCTCAAGTAGACACAGATGAATAAAGTGGTATAATATTATATGGTGCCTTACCTTATTTAAGGGCGGTCAGAGTATTCTTGGAGCACAGATGAGAGAGTAATTGATTCCACTTGAAGCAAAGATGAGAAGAGGAAAAGGATGGCATCAGGAAATCAAAAGAGCTAACCTTGGAGCTAGAACTTAAACTAAGACTACTCGTAGTTCATATTGTATAAGCAGTGGGATAGGCAACCCCCCAAAAGGGAATAATATGTATAAAGGACTAAGGCCTGTAAGAAAGAGCTTGCTGTGATTTGGGGTATGACTGAGCAGAGGGCACCTAGTCCACCTCCTTTGTTTTATAGCATAGAATGCTGGATGACATGAAGAGGGCTAATAAAAAATGTCTACAGAAGAAGTCTGGGGAGTGTGAGAGACACCGTTCAAGAGAAGACAGACTCCTGAAAGTGATATGCATATGGTCACAGTGAGGGGATGGTGACTTCACTAGAGTAGTTTCAGAGCAGAATGAAGGCTGGATTGAGTGGGCTGAAGCATGAAGGGAGGAGGAGGAAATGAAGTCCATGAATGGTACTAACTGTTCAAGGAGGTGATGAGGACCAGGAGAGAAATGCAGACTTTGGAGTTACAAGGACATTTATGAGTGGTCAGAGCTATAGAGAAAGCTGTGCTGGGAAGTCCATGCATTTAGATCTCGAAGAGGAGCAGTGTGGAACCCCTAGGCTTGTGAGCAGTCAAGGTAACTTCATCAATACAGAAAGGCAGTTCTGGGTGCAAGCTTGCTCTGAAGTCTTTTAAATTGTTACTAGTCTACTATCTGTTCAGTTGTAATCTCTTATAAGAAGAGGTCTCTGGAAGTTATTTGAGATAATCCGTCAAGATACACAGACCCTGGATTATTTTTGAGCAAACATCTTCTAGCCCATCAATATGAGGTCATATAGTATTTATGGTTATAGTTAGAAAATGACATCACAAATTAGTGCTTATCTAAAATGTTCTAACTTGGTTACTCTACAGTTATTTTCATCCATCTCATGTACTGTTTTTTGTCCTATGTTTTGATCTCAACTGTTAATTTTGTTTTAAGATGATCAAAGGGCTTCAGACCTCTGTAAAAGCCTATTACTTATCGGGATGTCCTGATTTTTGACAGATTCATGTGTTTCTTCAAGCTTTTAAAATACATTCATAACAGTAGTACTAATTTATTTTGGGGATTGGGGTTGTATCTAAACCTCACTCTCTCAGACAGAATTATAAAATTCACTTTCAAAATTTTGATCTTTTAAAAATCAAAGCATTTACTATCTTTTTAAAATTTTTTTAATGTGAATTGAAAGTTGATTACTGTACGCTGTATTGATCCGGAGATGTCTTTTCTTTTTTTCATGTATTGAGGTGCATTTTTGTTATTTCTCCATACTTGTCTCCTTTTTGACTCAGACATTACTCTCCTGGGGAGAATCATTGTGCTTCATTCTTTCTGTAACTCCTCTAGGTACCCAGAGATGACTAACCTATACACACTTCATCCGATACTAACATCCTAGTCCTGGCCCGCCCTGTGAAATGTTTCAGAAACTAGTCAGTCTATAACCACTAGGTAAGGCTAAATGGTGACATCCTTCCCACACCCCTGGACACCCACGCCCTATTTCAAGAGTTAAGGCATATGGGAGTTGTCATGGTGGCTGTGTGTTTAATCCTAGGAGAGGAGTCTAGTCATGACTAAATACAATGTTACTATTGATTACTACAAGAAGATTGCTTTTATGCCACATACTTGGCTAAGCCCTGGGGACATGTTAGCAAGTAAATAGATGCAGTCTCTTCTCTTTAGGAGCTATTAGTCTAGGAAAGAGAAATCTCCTTCAAGCAACATAATAGAAAGGCTAAACCAAGCTGAACAGCAAGTAGGATATGTATTCCTCATTTGTTAGTGAGCACATATGTACTGAGTAACAACTGTGGGCAAGCCGTCTGGATGACGTGTGAATATAGCAGTAAGCAAGAATGACACAGATCTTGTGAGGAAATAACCTTGTCACATAGGTTATTGAGTGATACTCTTGATGTTTTGTATTGTTTTAGTAAATTCCATATCTTTAAAATTCATATTTATAACACTTACTTCACCCAGAAGTTGGCAAAGTATGTAAACTTTAAGATTGACGCTCTTCAAAAATATATAAAATTTAAGTATGACAGCAGGTTTTAGCTCTCAAAGTGTACTTCCTCTTCACATTCATTTTTCCTAGTCAGTGACATATAATAGTGAGCAGTATAATTGGCTATAACCGATACGATTATCTTCATATATTCTATAACATCTCTTACAGTTATTGCCAGTTTTCGAGGAACTGTACCCTATGGCCTGTCATTGGAAATTGGAGATACAGTTCAGATCCTGGAGAAGTGTGATGGTAAGTGGGCTAATGAGATTGCTTGAGGTTGTATGACCAACCTCCTCACCATTGGACAGCTCATAATGCTTACAAATTCTGTCCTTCTGTTGATTTCTGAGATTTTTCCAGTGGTCACAGTGAGCCATTTTTGACAAAGCTTGTTTCTTGCATATTCAGTGTTTGGCTTATGGAAAAGCATCATTTGCTGTACATTTTTCCTAACATGATTTCCTTATATTCACTAGATCCCACTATAGAAAACAGTTGAGGCTACTGTATTTGTGGGAATTCATGACTCCTTGCCAAACTAGAAGATCTTTCTCAGAATCTCAAGGGTCTAGTAGGTCCCCCAGAACAGGAAGAAACAGAGGTCCAGAGCAGAAATGGCTTCTCCCAAGTTTAGGTAATCAGATAGCTTGGGGAGGACTTCTGCCAAGGCCAGCTCTACTTTAGTCCTGCTGTCTTCTTCCCTGCCACCCAGGGACAGGACAGGAAGAAACAGAGGTCCAGAGCAGAAATGGCTTCTCCAAGTTTAGGTAATCAGATAGCTTGGGGAGGACTTCTGCCAAGGCCAGCTCTACTTTAGTCCTGCTCTCTTCTTCCCTGCCACCCCGAAACTTGAACTAAAGTTGTTCAGTGCATATGAAATGTTTGTGGAATATATTGTAAGAACTTTATGGTTATTAGTTTATGCAACATGTAACTGATTAAATCAAGATACTTAATATGTCGTCAATTGTTTCCAATCCTGTTCCATGAAACATCCTTAAGCTCTCCTACTCACAAAGATCCCAGTTGAAATGACTATTTTTTTTCTCATTAATGAGATGACCACATTTTAAAGCCCTATCAGTATATCCAAAACTACACATTTTCCTCCTGAAATGTAGTTCTTTTTTTTTTTTTTTTAAAGATTTTATTTATTTTATTTGACAGACAGAGATTACAAGTAGGCAGAGAGGCAGGCAGAGAGAGAGAGGAGGAAGCAGGCTCCCTGCTGAACAGAGAGTCTGATGCGGGGCTCGATCCCAGGACCCTGGGATCATGACCTGAGCCGAGGGCAGAGGCTTTAACCCCCTGAGCCACCCAGGTGCCCCCTGAAATGTTGTTCTTTTTTTTTTTTTTTTAAAGATTTTATTTATTTATTTGACAGAGAGATCACAAGCAGGCAGAGAGGCAGGCAGAGAGAGAGGAGGAAGCAGGCTCCCCTAGAGAGCAGAGAGCCCAATGCGGGGCTCGATCCCAGGACTCTGAGATCATGACCTGAGCCGAAGGCAGCAGCTTAACCCACTGAGCCACCCAGGTGCCCCTGAAATGTTGTTCTTAATAGGAACTTATAATATGATAACGTTCTGTCATGTCAAGATTCATTAAACTGTGTTCCTCCAAACAGAACTGTCAGATTTACTTAAAGCCTTGCATTAAATTGTGGTGATACATGGACATTTATTCTGTGTACTGTGAATGATATCTTTAGAGATATAATCAGGTCTTCCATGTTATTGTCAGTTCCATTTTGTCTGTTTTTACTTTGTATACAGATAAATATAAAATCTGTTTTGAATTGGTGCATGAAAATGGACTCCATAGCTAACGGAAGCAGTTTTGTAACCTAAAAACCTTTGACAAAGACCTCTCTATGAGACTTTTGCAGTTCTCAAAAAGTTTTGGTTTCTGTTAAAATGATTATTGAAGAATGGATATATTTCTTGGGTATGCTTTTAAGGGATCTCCTTAATCCTGAGATAGATAGTTTCTGCTCAATTCATTTTGCTTTCTTCAAACTGATTTAAAAGCTGTTAGGCATGGCATTTTACAATATATCTTATAAGGAACAAAAAATGTTTAAATATTTGTATTTAATATTTATATAAATTTTATATAATGTTTTATATAAATTTTTAATATTAAAATACAAAGTTCAAATATTTATTTTTTAAAAATTCAATTAATCAAGAAAATCTAGTACTACAAAATATTTGTTATATGATAATTTCTTACCAATAACAAAATGGTTCTATGCTTGAAGAAACTATAAGTTGAAAATAATACATTTATGGGGGTATATATTTACCATACATTTTCATATATATATACACCCTATACTTGTTTTAAACTATAAAAAGATAACATTCTTCTTTCGGATAGTGCTGTAAAATACTGATTCAGAGTTGCTTGGAGGTTGAGTCATAGGCATTTTATAGAATAAAAGTTAGGGTGAGCTCAGGTACTAGGACATTTTGCAGATAAGAGTACACATCACTTTTCTTGATGGATGATACCTGATTTCCCTCTTCTTATGCTATCAGACTGATCCTAACCCTAGATGATGGGCTCAAGGAAGTGCAAATTTACCCTATAACTGTTGGCTGACCCCTACCTATACTTTGGTGAGGTCTGGGCCTTGTAGTTGGGCAAAGAGAAATTGGAAACGTACTAAATCTTGTGCAGATTCTTGAAGTTCCCTGAGATAGATGCTCACATAAATTATCTTGCCCAAAATAAAATAATCTGATAAGTAGCAAAGCCAGGATTTAAGCCCAATGCTCTGATTCCAAACATTGTGCTTCCACTATGCATGTTTCTATTTTCCAAATAAATTTCCATTACAATTTTTTAAACAGTTTATTAATAGGATTTTTAAACTAGTAATCACTTGAGCCCAGTCCAACTCTCATCTTGTTCATACACAGAATATTTATTTATAAGGTAAAATTCCATCAGTAAAGGACAGACTTATTTGTAGTCATTTCTTTTCTTTAAAATATTACAATGGTTTATCAAAATAACGACCATGATTATTTCTCCACAGGGTGGTACAGAGGATTTGCCTTAAAGAACCCAAATGTCAAGGTAATAAAAAATACTACTCATAATCATAATTACGGGATTTTTAAAAAGTTGTTTTATTTCATTTTACAGTTGAAATTACAGTTGGGAGTCTTAGTTGAAATGCCAAATGGCAATACGGATTTTCATAATTTTGGAAATTCCTTTGAACTTGGATTATCGTTAAGACATGCTACTGAAATGATAATCCTACGTAGTTCTTGCAGTTTGTACTGAGAAGACCTTAATAAGCTCTTTATATATAAACAAAATCTTTTTGAACTGTTAGTTTAGGAGAGAGTGAAATTAAAATTCAAGCAGGGGAATAGATATTCCAAAAGAAAAATTGAATAAAGGTATTTAATCTTGGAGTTTTCTGTGATATCATTTGCAAAAGAGTGGTGTGGAGAAACATGTGGATTTCAGCAGCTTAATAAGATTCCCTTTTGGGTTTGGGCATGTGAAACATGGAGAAACCATATTATAAAGCTCTCCCTGTTCTTACCATTCCAGACAGAAAACTGAGACTCATTATCCTTCATATGGTCATATACATCCTCAGGAATTACAGTAGGAAGTAGTATGATTTTTGTTTGACCTTTCATTTGTATACTTTATGACCTTGACACACATCCTTACTATTTATTATCTGTATTTGTCTCCTTTGTTCTAATCTCTCCAACTTTCATCCCACATTCTGTAATATTCTCTTGCATATCATGTTCATTTCTTTGTTTAATTCTGGCTTTATTAGGATTGTAGATAAGAAATTGTATCATTGCTTATTCTCAGAATATAATGTTAGTGATCTAAATTCTTCCACCTGTCTTTCTGCTTAACCACACCTTTTTCTAGATCACCCAGCTATGTTTAATAACTGTATTTCATTTATTTTTGGTCATTCTAAAGGAGAGCCTGAGGAACAAAAGAATATAGAAATTTAATTTTTTTAAAATACTTTAGCCCTCATTTAAAGTTATTTTTGGACATCTGCAAGGCACATGCAAATGTAGCTTCAGTACTTAATTATTCATTCAGAATAATTTTGAAAAAAAAATGTATTATGGCTTATTTCTGCCACTCCTCTGACCTCAAGTTCTGACTTTTTCTTATTAATTATAATTACTCTGTTTGTTAATCCTACCATATTGGGTTAAATTTTGAAGGAAAAAAATATGTATTTTTTAACATATGTGTCTGTTTACTACTGTTGTATGTACAGAATTTGCTTATTAAGTTTTATGTTATCCTTGGATCCACAGAGGTGATAATGTATTCAAATGACATTTGCTTTCCTAAATATTTAATTGAATTTGTCATTTGATGATACATCAAAAATCATTCAGAGAATATTGTCATTTAATGGACAATAAGATTGATGCTAATTTTTTTTATGTTGTTTCTTTCAACTTTGCATTTAGAACAAAGGAACAGTTTCCTTGTCCTATCTTTTCCCTACAGTAAAAAGCTTTAAGGTAGCATGCTGTCTTTTGTTTAATTTTTGTTCCATCGGTATGTAGCCTGGTGATTAATTGCTGCTGTGTTTCCATCAAAGATCTTCCATAACACATAATATATGATTTGTCTCCCAGTTCATAATGGTATATATTTTTTAACGTGTATATTTTAAAATAGACATGAGTGTTTCAGGGAGAAGAAAAGGAACAACTATCAAAACAAACAAAAGCTAATGCAATATTAAAAAAAACTATGCAATATTTTAAAAATTCTTATTCAGTGTAACATGCCTTCTATGCAGAATTCCTGAAAATTTAAAGATTTTCTATTTTATAAAGAATATACTTTTGAGTGAGATTTAATTTTTTTAAATTATTTTAGAGAATCCCTGAATCTATAAACTAGTGAATAGTAGGAAATAAAAGGAATGGATCCAGTGCGGTAGAGATGTTGTTTTTCCCCGTTCCTGGTACTGTTCAGGTTGTATGACTGTATTTTACGCGTTTGACTTGTGCAAACACTCCTGCATTATCAGTCAGCTAGCGCTATAACCTCCTGTTTTCTCCCACAGGGTATCTTTCCTTCCAGCTACGTTCACTTGAAAAATGCCTGTGTGAAGAACAAAGGGTAAGAAATGAGTTTTATTAATAGTGAGAGGATTTTCACAGAACCATTGCTTAGTTGAGAATTTGAAAGGCTTAGTAATTGTCTTGACAAATGAACTACAGGAGATCATGCCATTGTCTTTGTGGTTTGATAAAGGTGAATTACACAAAGGCAGCTGGTAGAGAGAATGTAGTACTCTCCATCTGAGTGTACTGGATCAGAGGAGAATCTAGGGCGTCACAGATCTCTCATTGTCCACAGATCATGGAATCAGCCTAATCTGAAGCAGAAGGAGTTGGTTCTTTTTGGTTTCCTGCTGTATGGAGAAGCATGGCAGCCAACCCATGGAGTGCTGAGTCATGTTTCAAACCCCAGGAATTTCCTAGATTCACCACTGATTATAAGCAGCCAAGTCTGACTGTTTTCTCCTAATTCGGGATCATACTGTATCATTGTGTGACCACTTCACAAAGCCACTCTTCTATTTTAGGAAATGGCATTTCTGTTTATTGTTTGATTGAGCTCATTGATCACCCAAGATCTCTCATACATTTTAGAAGGTTTTCTAGTCTATTTCCAAAAGGACTTGAAGGAGCTGTCAGAATAACAGATGATTCAAATAAAATATCATAGTGTAAAACAGTAGAACTTGCTTAGTTAAGTGGTTATCATGAACAGACCGTTAATTATCAGTGGGCCGTGGGTTTCGACCCAAACATTAGCTGCCAGTGCCACAAGGAATAGTCACTGGACCATTGAATGATTGTCATTTTATGACAGAAGAAACAATGCAGATTCAGCCTTAAAAATTACATTTTACTTCAAATAGAAAAAAATAGCAGTTTACTTGGATGACTAAAGCACATTTTAAATCATAGTAAATGAGATCTTCAAACTTGAATTTTACCAAAGGAGTTCCAAGGATGCTATTTATGTGGATGATTATTATATCCACTGTCTATAAAGGTAAAGTATTAATCTTAGTGCATTGAAATAACTTCTGCAGGTGGGCGAGAGTCTATGGTATAAATACCCTGAGAGTTACTTACATAGATAAAACTGTAGGAGATCCTTATACTGTGTATCCATATACACAGAAATACACACATACACACATGTATATGCTACTTTAAACAATATTACTATTACTAGCAGTAGCAGTAGTAATTATTTAAACTAGTAGATTAAAACCATAATTCTGATATGAATAATTACAACTGCTACTACTCTTTTTAATAAATGGGTGTCCTTTGGGAAGGTTGTGTAGCTGTAACCCACCAGAAATGAATCAAGGAGAGTAAACAGTCCTTTCGGAGTTCTCCTACCAGGCTCACTCTGACACTGTCCAGCCCCCCTCAAGTAAACCAGAGGAAACCATAGAAGATACTTTGGCCATAGGCTCACTCTTTGTTCTGACCTTTCTGCTCTAGTGATCTGGGCTGGACAGTGTGGAAACCCCAGGGTAGAGACCCTTAACGGTGTCCAGCTAGGTAGACCCGTGCAGCCAGTTCCCTTTGCTGCCATTGCCCCAAGCCCCACCCTACCCCTTGAACTCTGTAGATCAAAGGGCCGCTTAGCCCCAACCGAACACCCCGAGCAAGGGAAATAGAGGATGCTAGCAAAGACGATGTCCAGCATCATTCCACCCAGTGGAAGTCCTCCCTCTCAAAGCAGAATGGGGTGGGTTATTATCAAAACAAGTGCCTTCTTTTATTTATTTTTGTCCTAGACAGTAACTGGTACATGTCTGGCTCCCTTCCTTGAGCCCGAGGAAGTTTAAATAAGGCTATAGATGTCTCAAAATTTAGTTGTGTAAATTTAAGACTTGGTTGTCGCTTCCCCATGTGACACAAGGCATCATGAACATTAAGTAGCGGGAGAACGTTGAGGGTAGAACCCAAGTTTGTTTTCTTTTTTTTTTTTTTTCAAAGATTTTATTTATTTATTTGACACAGAGAGAGAGAGATCACAAGTAGACAGAGAGGCAGCCAGAGAGAAGGGGGGAAGCAGGCTCCCTGCTGAGCAGAGAGCCCCATGTGGGGCTCGATCCCAGGATCGAGACCCAACCCTGAGATCATGACCCAAGCCGAAGGCAGAGGCTTAATCCACTGAGCCACCCAGGCGCCCCCCCAAGTTTGTTTTCTTAAAAAGAAAAAAAATTATTGGAATTGATTGAGATCCTAGATTCTAGGACTGTTAACTGGAAGAAAACTTAAGCCTGAAAACATTTAAGAACACATATTACCAGGTAATTGCTTTCCCAAAGAGGGACTTTGGGATTTTGATATAAACATCTCTTATTTTAGGATCAGCAGCCTGATGGCTCACCAGGATTAAGTAGCTGCAAAGTATATCTCAGGATAACTAAACAAAATATAATTTCAAGGGCTACTACTTACAACTGTTTGAACATTGACTTTGGTTTTGATATAATTAAGAGGAAACAGCTGCCTCACCAAAAATGGTGATTTTGTCAGGCTTCTTAAAAATTTACATTTTGTTTGAACAAATCCCAAATCAACGTCTCACAGATGGAACTGCCCTTTTGTTGGTTCCTGGGTCTTCAGAGCATTGTCGGGCTGATGGGGGTCCTTAAATTAAATTACTGTTTATGAACAACGAGGCCCCTTCAGTAGTGTTTAATTGCTGCATGAGGTCATGCCACGTTTTAAATGTTAAGTAGGGTGTCGAGTTGTCCTGGAAATTCATTGTTCCCTTCTTGACCTTACATCTGATCATTTTATAATCTCTGTCTCCAAATATTCATCATTTGAATTGCAACGGCTGCTTCAAAAGCAAAATAAAGGCGTTACCAATTTGAAAATGTCACACGTAGACTTGATAAAAGGTTCTGTGTGTGTTGCAGTTCCTATACTACTGTTTACTTTCTTGCCTAGTTTTAAATCCCACTTTTACATTTTCAGCTGTGTTTAAGCTCTAGAAAGAAGGGAAATACAGAGCAAGTACTTTAGCGGCCCTATGAAATGAGGAAATGAGCCTCGGTTGGTGAAGATTTTAGTTCTCTTACTTGCTGTCAAGAAGGCTTTACACACAACAATTATACACCCTTTGGATATAACATCACAAAAGAACAGAGCAGTTATTAGCCTCATGCTAAGAAGTAATTTTCCCTTGATCATCTAGACAACCTGGTTCGGCGTCTCAAATGCTGTTACCTTGTACCTGTTAGATGTTGTCCTTGAAAAAATACATACATGTTAAGAAAATAAGTCCTATCAAATAGCTGGTAGCATTCTTTTGAGACGTTGTACTGATAATAACCACTTAGGCATTTTAACCTGCACACACACTGAAAAGAATTTGAAAAACCAAATTTGAGATGAGGAATAAAAAGGTTGTTGTACGTCAAAGACAGATATGGAAGATAAAGGAAATTTGGATTTTATTTTTGTCCATGGCTTCATGCAATATCAGGACCACTTACATACACTAGGAGATGTTGATATGAATGTTTTCTAAGTATAGTGTTTTGCTTTTAGAGAAGAAACCGGAACGGTATAGGACCCTAATCAGAGAGAGGAACATTGTGCAATGGATATTGGAACATCTGTGATAGCAAAAGCTTTTAAGTTCAATGATGCATGATAACATTACTAAGAGACTAAGCATTTTTCATGGTCCCATGTACAAATAATAAAAACGAAGTGTTGATAATATCAAATGAGTGCGGACGCCTGGGTGGCTCAGTGGGTTAAAGCCTCTGCCTTCGGCTCGGGTCATGATCTCAGGGTCCTGGGATCGAGCCCCTCATTGGGCTCTCTGCTCAGCAGGGAGCCTGCTTCCTCCCTCTCTCTCTGCTTGCCTCTCTGCCTACTTGTGATCTCTGTCTGTCAAATAAATAAATAAAATCTTTAAAAAAAAATAAAAGATCAAGTGAGTGTTTAATCTGTACCTTGGTGTCTAGATATTTCTAACACTAAGTTAGTTTGGATGTTTGCAGCCGTAATACCCTGATCATTGAAAAAGTCTGTTACTCTCTTTGAGTCCTATGGTCATAGTGCTTGAAAAGCAAAAGCTATCTCATAATTTATGCAGACTTGGTGACCTCATGTTACATGAAGGCTTTTGGGCTTGAGAGGTTAAATGAGTTGTTTTTTAGTGGTCACATTGTGGCTGGAGCAGAAGTCTTCTGATACTGTTGCTTCTGACCACACTTCTCAAACTTGATGTGGATGAAGTGGCTGGACCTTTTGGTATTATTCTGCCATGACCCACATAACATTCCTCACATGGGTCTCTAATCAGATCCTCATTACAGTCTGCAGAACCCAAAATAATAGGCAGTTTCCTTTCCCACTTTTATCTTTCAGAGGATTTCAAAGAAAATTGTTATCTATGATAATTGCACATAGACTTTGTTTTTCTCTTTTAATTTCACAGACAATTTGAAATGGTTATTCCCACTGAAGACTCCGTTATAACAGAAATGACATCAACATTAAGAGACTGGGGAACCATGTGGAAACAGCTCTATGTGGTAAGTAACTTTTTAATGTCATAATTTTTGGATAGAGAATTGTTTTAAGAAAAACTTGAACAGGAGTTAGCATCAACTAATTGTTGAACACCTGGTTTAAGGCACTAGGCGTCCTCCAGAAGTCAGAAATACAGAGCCTAATAAGACAATCTTGCTGGAATCCATGTGCCCACTAAGCATGGGCTCTCTAAGTTTTTTTTTTTCGAGATGCAGTAATGTAAAAGATGATTTTTCTGGCGTCTCATCGATCAGAATGGTTTACATGGAACTAGTTAGTGTCAGGCTTTCTGAGCATTTTTTATTTTCAAGGAGAAAAATTTATTTTCAGTGCAATTGGAGTATCAGTGGTATTTTATTCTAATTTTCTATAAATGATTCAATATATGGAAAATGACAGACTCCTTAGGCCAAACGAACCAGAATATTTTAAATATACAAGAGAAAGGAATATTTCTTGGAAAAAAAAAAAAAGAGGGTCAGGTCAATGTTTGGAGAGTATGTTTTTATGTATTTATTTACCTGTTAGAACAAATTATACTTACTGAGAGCTTACTGTGTTACAAACCATGGGGAGGTACGCCATATGCAATGCCTCATCAACTCCATACACCCACTCAAGGAAATGATGACCATGAACATCCCCAGCTTACAAACAAGGAACATGAGGCAGAGTGAGGTTCTTGGCTGTGGCCTACGCAGTGGGAAAATGGCTGGGCTGGGATTCTGAGGTGAATCTAGTGCCCTCACTTTGGGTCTCTGAATATGCACACATTTGGAGGTGGTGAAGCTTTGAGGAAGATGAATGCTATTTCTCCTTTTATTTTCAAAGACATTTATAGAACAGCTTAATCATTTGAAGGGAGTGCGTTCAAAATACAAAGGTGTACTTAGCCTGACAAAACGATTTGAAACAGCTTGTCAAAGAGAAAATCCCAATTAGTGAAGGACATTGGCACAGAATGACAGTTTTCATTGTCTGTTACATATAAAATGCAATAGGATATTTCACTGAGGCAAGAAACTCTTAAAAATAAAACCCCTTTTGATGTTGGATTTCACTGACCACGCCCTCCTGGAGCTGGTGACTTTAGGACTCATTACGAAAATCCACAAGACAGTCTTAGATGAAATGCCAGTCTGAGCTTTGCTGGAATGAGGTAAATGCCAAGTCCAGGTAACTGAACTCAAGGGATCTGTGCTGAGAGGTTACAGAGGAAATGCAGATCTCCTTTCCAGATTTTTTTTTTTAAAGATTTTATTTATTTACTTGACAGAAATCACAAGTAGGCAGAGAGGCAGGCAGAGAGAGAGGAAGGGAAGCAGGCTCCCTGCTGAGCAGAGAGCCTGATGCAGGGCTCCATCCCAGGTCCCTGAGATCATGATCTGAGCCAAAGGCAGAGGTTAATCCCCTGAGCCACCCAGGCGCCCTTCCCTTCCAGATTTTTGAAAAAATTTTTATTAGGAGGAATATAAAATCAAGTATTATTTCACTTAAAATAACGTATATAATATGTGGAAATGAAACTATTGGAAATGTTCACATCATTACATCTTAAATACCCAACAGAAGAGTTATAAAAATAATGGCAGTGTAAGTGTCCTCCATTAGTGGAGCTAGAACACCAGCACTTTGCCTTTTATGTGGCAGCTTGTGGGGAACAAAGTTGAATTTCCTCTTGATTCTGCCTCACCTAGCTATTTTTACCTGCTTTTCAGGCACGAACATCTATTTTGGGGACATACTTGATTGGTTTGAAAATCTGTGTGTTGTAAGCTCTAGGAGTAACTTTTCCACCTCCTCATGTCCTGAGTAATGGACACAGAGATAGAATGATTTAAAAAGTTCCCCTGGATACTGGCATTGTAGTCAGATATGTTAGGGACAAATATGAAGTTGAACCTGAAGGGAACAGACTTTAGACCTTGAGAATGAGGCCGACTCGGCTGTGTTGGGCCTTCTGGGTTCTCTTTCCCTTATACAGGTGTTTTGAGCCCAGTGTTTTGATTCAAGTTCGTCCTTGCTCTTTTCCAGTGGTTTTAAGGTGCCTGGCTTCTCCACTGGCAGATGTTTGATGAGGATAAGATCTTGTAAACTGTAAGAAGTTTATGAGATATACTTAATATAAGTAGAACATTTAGCTTAAAAGCTCATGGTAAATACTTGAGAAATGCTAGTTGCTCTTTTTCATATCATTGGTAAGAGCCTAAATAATGTTCTTTAAAATATCACTTAATAAAATACTGGTAATATAACCACAAAAATCTTAGGAGAACTACAGCAGCCATCCTTTACTTAAGTAATTCTGTGCATGCCTTTGGCTGGATATTTTATAACTTTCTTACCTGGTGCTCTGCCAACTTGTTTTTATTCTCAAGTCTTTAGCAGAGATAACCTATTCAGGGTCCCACACTAAGTGGTAAAGCCCGAGTCTAAAGGTAGATCTGCTGCCTCCAAACCCATGCTGTTTTCATTTTGAGGCAAATGGAAACTTACCCATTCTCTAAAACACTGGGACTCAAAATTACCTTTTTGCTACATTTCGCACCTATTGCAGGAACTTTCAGATACTGTTTTATTCCAAGGCTTGAATATCATATCCTACCCTTTTCATTTAATGTTAAACCAAGAGCATTTTTCATATTTTCTAAATAGTCTTCATAACTGTTCAGTATTTACAGTGCACTTTTTCAAGACTCACCATTTAATGACCAGCTGTCAGCCCAGACCTGATACATACCCGATACTTTCCCACGAGGAGGGCGTGTTTGCCGGTTAGGGCTGCGGTATGTCAGGGTTCCTGTGTCCCCTTCCCTAAAGGGAACGCTGACCAGATGGTTTCATTTTTACCAAGGATCCAGCTTCCTTATCGTCTTAGCACTCTCTTCAACTTAAGTACTAGAGGAGACATCATTAGAAAATGAAGTCCATCCTACCACACAACTGTAAAACGCCATCCCCAAGAGCAGGGCCGATGGCTTCTCCAACAGAGCTGCCTCTTCATTTTGCTGCACAGGACTTGACTTATTTTATATCTTCCTTATGTAATTTCTTTGACTCTTATGGACCTTTCCACTGGCCATTGACCTCCTCAAGTCTTTCTTGATCTTCCCTATTGTTTCACATGACTTAGATGGAATCTAACTCTCAAGATCCACAAAATGACCTCCCATAAATCAAGGATCTCATTCTTCTCCAGCTGCTGGGCCTACCTGAGGGAGACCCAGCGTCTGTGGTTGGAGGATCACACCCAGTGGAGACCATGGACTCTGAGCCGTGAATTACCAGAGTATTGCATTACAGTGTGCCTGTCGTGACTTGTATGGGAGCGTATGACATGAGTAAAGAGTGAGAGGTAATAGTAGAACAAGCATAGTAGAGAGTTTTAAATGTCAAGAGCACAATTATTTTTATCTCAGAGACCAGGGATAGTGTCATGGAGAATGCTTTGCTGTTCAGCCAGCACATTTGTCTTATCCGCACAGTACATTAAAACACTCCAAGTCACCAAGTCTTGATAAAGTAGAAGACATGTTATGACTTTTTTAAATGAAAAAAAAAAAAAAAAAAAAAAAAATGTGTTCTGACCAAGCATCTTTTCCCATCCCACAGAACTTCTGCTATTTCTGGCAGTTTCTCACTGCAGAGGGCTTCAGATGTATGATAATCTCAATCCTTGTATACCACTGATCATGTCCTCTACTAATATTTTAGTAGAAAGTAAAAGTATAGCTTCTTGTTAAGAAAGATGAAGGGCTGGGGCGCCTGAGTGGCTCAGTGGGTTAAAGCCTCTGCCTTTGGCTCAGGTCATGATCCCAGGGTCTTAGGATCGAGCCCCACATGGGGCTCTCTGCTCAGTGAGGAGCCTGCTTCCTCCTCTCTCTCTCTCTTTGCCTGCCTCTCTGCCTACTTGTGATCTCTGTCTGTCAAATAAATACATAAAATCTTTAAAAAAATAAAAAGAAAAAGAAAGATGAAGGGTAGATACTTAGAAATAGTTCTGCCCTCCGTGTCTCTGGGTAAGAGATACAGGCCAGCTTTGGGTAAAGAGACGATGTTAGCAGAAGGCTTGTCCTGGACCAACCCCACGGCAGTAACAGTATTAGTAACTGCCGACACTTGGGTGGTGTTTATTCTAGGTCGGGCATTATTCTAACAGTTTTGGTGTACTAACCTATCAATCTTGACAGTACCCAATCAGGTAGTTATTATAATATCCATTGTATAGATAAGAAAATACACACAAAGAGGTTAATAAATTGCCAAAGGTTTTTCAGCGAGTAAATGGCAAACTTGGAATGCAGACTGCACATTCAGGCTCCCAAGTCTGTGTTCTTCGTCACTGTGCTGTCCTCTCTTCACCAACATTATCTCCAGGCCACAAAACAACCTTACAGGAAGGTAGGACTGTCTGTTTCACAGATGACAGAACTCACTCGCCAAGGCTTTAAAACAAATAAGTAGCAAAAGCAGCATTTGAAGCTGGGAGTTTCACCCATCTTCCTTATGTTAAGTCGCCTTGCTTGACGAATTTCCCAGGAGAATATTGAATCTACATGAATATTTAACAAGTAAGAAAGAAAACAGTGTTTGTTCATAAAAGTCTGAATAGTGACCAGATAATAGCAGTGAATGGGTTTGAGAGTTCTCTGTGCAGAGCCAGCTTGTGATGGGAAATACTGTAAAGCCGTACGACCAGCATGTAAGAAATAATAAGAACACAGTGTTTTCTGGTGAAGTGGGCTTCATTGTATGCAACCACTGTTGAGAGAAGACAGAAAAGAATGTGGGTGAGAGTTATCACGGAAGGTTCCTGACAGAGGTGGATCCGGGTAGAGCCTTGAAGGACAGCGGAATGTGGATGGAGCTAAAGAAAGGAGGGTTGGAGGAGGAGGAGGGGCAGTGCATGTAGGCTCCAGGCGTGGAGGCGTGGTGAGGACTCCTGGAAAGGGAAGTTGGATTCTTGGACAGCACTGTCGTGCACCTGGATGAGATCGTAGAGCGCAGTGGGCATATGCGAGTGTGAGGGGAGAGGGACCCGTTCACAGAGAATCTGCCTACTGAGTAGCAAGCACATGGAGGCTGAGCTGGACTTGTCCTTCCCTTTCCCTCCCCGCTCACTCTGGGGACTGACCACTGCTTCCATGTTTGGGTACTTCCCAGAGAAATGAAGGCGATCTCTTCCATCGGCTGTGGCACATCATGAATGAAATCCTGGATCTGCGCCGGCAGGTGCTGGTGGGCCATCTGACCCATGACCGGATGAAGGATGTGAAGCGTCACATTACTGCCCGCCTGGACTGGGGCAATGAGTGAGTACTGTCCCCCGTGGTGGTGGTGGTGGTGGGGGGTATGTCTCTGGTGACAGATGTCACATAGGTGTGAGCCAGTGTGTGGTGATAACGCTGAAAACACCATATGGGTTTTTTTCAATTTTCTCCTTGTGGGGGCTTAGGGAAGACGGTCATCGATGCAGCTGAGAGCTGGATCCTCCGAGGCTGGGGAGGGCATTAGGATGTTGTTTGTTCTCTAGTGTCCTGTGAGGTCGACAGTGTGCATGTTCTCACAGAATATGAAATATTTACAGGGATCAACCGGTTAAGGCTTCTTCTAAATAGGTCTTATTTAAAAATAAGCTTTAGGTTTGGCATGTGTATTTGCTTTTAATATATACCCCTTCCGTATCGTGGTAATATGTCACCAGACTAATCTGGAGGGAGACGCTGATGCTAACACTGCCTATTAAAAGTCTTAAAACAGGTGCACTGGTGGGGGAATTGATTATTGCCCTTGAATCTGCCTGTGTGTAGATATTGGCCCCTTTGAGGAGCTGCTTTGGAGAACTCAGTAAAAAGTAGACCAAGATTTATTCTTTTTTTTTTTTTAAAGATTTTATTTATTTATTTGACAGAGAGAGATCACAAGCAGGCAGAGAGGCAGTCAGAGAGAGAGGAGGAAGCAGGCTCCCTGCTGAGCAAAGAGCCCGATGCAGGGCTCGATCCCAGGACCCTGAGATCATGACCCGAGCCGAAGGCAGCGGCTTAACCCACTGAGCCACCCAGGCGCCCCCCAAGATTTATTCTTAAATAAAACTATGACTAATCTAAAATAACCTCCAAACACTTCAGTTAATCTCATCATTTAAAGCTCTGATCAGGGCTGATATTGTACTAAGTATGAATGCTAATATGTGGGTGAGAAATTAGAATACACTTTGACTATGATCCTGGGCTTGTTGCAAGAAGTTAAAAGGTCTCTCAGTGTCATGCTCTTGTCCTCCCTTCCTTTCCCCTCTCAGTCCCCATTGGCTAATTGGACCTTCAAAGGATCTTAGGGGTACAGAATAAAAGAAAAGCTAGCAGAAAAGGGGGAAATGGCAGGACATACACCACAGATGAATTCACCTCTTATTGAATCTGGAAAAATCGATTTGAAGCTAGAGTGCAGCTTCTTCTGACTGCAGGAAGTTGCTCTCTCAGAAGCCAGTTTTGATTCCTCTGAGATGTGATGACTACAGATATGAGCACGTGGACCTACATTGAGCCTCATGCTCACCTTGAGTACTTGGGCCATTTTGTTGAGTAAGATGTGCCATTCATCTTTTACAGATGAGCAGTATGGTAGCCCTAAGTTATTTACCTCTACAAGATTGATTTCTGTGGGAGATTAAAAAAAAAAAACAAACCACCCGTAGGTGTGGAATGGCAACAGGACATTAGACTAGCAATGCTGCTTTTTGAGACATGAGGCGAATTCCTGAGCCCTTCTTGACTTCACTTTTCTCACCTGTGGAAGGAGTACGTTGAACTAAAGAAGGTCTGTGGGCCATTTCTGCTCCAGGACCGTATGAGTCCAAACACACAGCATTTCCTGGGGAAGAAAACATGGTGGCCATTTGCACTGAGCCTCCCGTCTTGCTGTGTGAGATGAGGCAGACTGGGTGGGGGTAATCTCAAGGCTGTTTGAAAGGGACCCGTGCTATCTATCCTGTGTTTCTTTTTTATTTTGGGGAAAAAAAATTTTTTTGAGTTTTCACTGACTTATATTGGCTCTTAGTCATTATGCTGGTCCTTCTTTAAAGATGAGTTTGTAAATAGGAAGAAAGTTGGATGAAGTAGCTTATCAAAAATAGCTTAGAAATATAGAGCAAGCAGAAAGATACTTTTTCAGTTTTAGGAAGGAAGATGATGACAGAGAGAAAAACATTAATTATGAATGAATCATGACTCCGTTTTGACTCATGTAAATTCTAGCTTTACTTTGGGCAGTTCTGTGGCTAATTTATGGTAAGTTGGTAAAACATTGATGTATGAAAATGAACAATATAATTTATATAGCTCATCCTCAAATTCATGAATTTTCTAAGGTCTCATTCTGTTTTCTTTGACCACTTAATTTAAAAACAACTTATAGCACACAGATTGTGCGTTTACCGGATTCTTGTAAGTATTAAATCAGTTGTCTTATTGAGTAGTGCTAAATGAAAAGCAAATTCAGATAATGCAAGAGAATTATCTCTAGATAATTAAATTATCTAGATTAAACTAGATCAGATTGTCCTGCAAAATCATCTGTCAGCATGTAGATCTCTGGATGAGCATAAATTAAGAACATTCAATCTCATGTTGTGTATCACACTGCTAACCAGCGGTAAAGAGAAGCCCTCTGCATGTGGGAAGCTTGGGAGGAAGTGGAGGAGGAGCTATTCCTTTTGTTCCTTAACAGAGCCATGAAAAGAAGTATCCACACCTGCAAGTGTCACACAGAGTTAAAATAATGGTACCTGTTTCTGTTCTCCATAGAGTCCCGTGTTGTCCTTTGACTTTTCTCACTAAGATCATACAGGAGGGAGAATCCATTCTTTCTTTCTTTCCAGTGACTGAAATGATAAAGAGTGTGCCCCTCCCTTCCCTGCTCTGGTTTCCCGTATCCTGAGCATTTTCTCCTTTCTCATTTTACCTCATTTCTTCTTCCTGATATTAAAGCACTGCCCCGATCCTGTTCTGTGAGCTAGGAAAATCTCAAACACTGGGAGAGGTATCCTAAGGATATACCTAGGAATGAACAAAACAAAATCAAAACAGAGGAAGCTCTCTTCATACAGCTAGGACCCAGGAAGCCAGCAGAAGCTGAACAATTACAGCTTTAGGAGAGAAAGACTTGCAAGTTAAAGGCTCCTGGGACCCCAAGACCAGGAGGTTTCTGGACTTCACACCTGCTCCAGAGCCTTTGCAGCTAGAGTTGGTGTTTACTCATTCTCCAGGGATGGACACCAGTTGTCCTTCGTATATCTTTTCTTCCTCATGCCATATGGCTGATGCTCTGACTTTCCAGGTCCAAATTCTCAAAGAAGGAATCTCATTGAAAGCCATAATCTACTATTCCTGTCTAGACAGAGCATTTTGTACCAGCCACTCATAAGCTATTGGCCAGTCCCTGGATTATTTGTCCTTAGGTCAGGTGTCTATCTGTTAAGCTAGTCACGTGTGCCTGGGGTAGGGGAGATGTCAGATGACTAGACTGCCTTAGCAATTCCTCATGCCTCCCAGGATAGGACAGCTTCTCAGAGAAGGAGCTGTGGGTAAGGTTGGTGCCATGATTCATGTGTAGTTATATATCCTCTTTCCTTTGCTAGATAATCTTTCCTCAGCAATACCAACCTGGTGTCAAATGATGTCTTATATTGTAGTGCAGTGGTTCTCTCTTGGGAGGGGGCAGAGAATGGGGACCAGTCCCTATCAGAATCCCTGGTGAGGCAGACCAAGGGGAGATGTATTAGTCTGCTAGGGCTGCCATAATAAAATATCATAAAGTGGGTGGCTTAAACAACACATGTATTTTCTCACAGTTCTGGAGGCTGGACATCTATGATCAAGGTACCAGCAGATTCAAATTTGGTGAGGGCTCTCTTGCTGGCTTGCAGACAGCTGCCTTCTTGCTGTGTCCTCACATGACCTTTCCTCTGTGCTTACGTGGAGGTAGAGAAATCTCTGGGGTCTCTGCTTCCTCTTATAAGAACACCAGTTCTATTGGATTAGGGCCCCACCCTTATGACCTCTTGTAACCTGTATTACCTTATTATGGTCCCTGTCTTCAAATATAATCATAATGGGGTTGGCTTTATTGGGCTTCCCATATAAAGGACCACATTTAGTCCATAATGGGGAGACATGGATACTTGAGAACAAAATCACAATGCTGTATGTGATTTGAAAGTTCAACAAAAATTAGAGAATGGGAGTGTGATTTGTATGTTTCTCAAAGAGAAACATAATTGAAGAAAATTAAACTTTTTCGCATCAAAGACAACTACTGCCATTATAAGAACAACTGTCCCTCAAGGTGGCTGGGTCAGTGCCTGGCTTGAAGTAAGTGCCAAATTAATGAGTTCTACTTATAAAACCGCTAATGAAGTTTGGGGGAAGGTACAGGATTTCAGGATTTTTTTTTAATACACAAGGGAGAAAGCTGTGGTTTTATAATTGGAAATGCCATGGCAGAAGGCTTCTGTGTTAGAAGAGGATGTGAAAGGGACACAGAAAAAATTATCATCAGAGAATTACAGTGAGACATGGAATGGGATAACTGAGGAGAGTCTGGGAGAGAAACAGCATCTTGGCCTTGATCTACAGGGCATCACAGAGACATCATGACACCTTTGGGATGGTCGTGGAAGGTTCAGGAGACGAATGATACAACATAGATATCATTGTAGTCAAGCGGGCACCCTGGAGAGGAGGATGTCACCAAGGTCCCTAGAGGCGAAGTGGCAGTTACACTGATTTTCCTCCATCTGTGGTAGGACCTCACAAATCAGCCACCACACTTGCTCTCACTGAGACTAGATGTATAACCTTAGAACAGTTCTCAGTACAGTAAGCCACATGTCAGCTGTGTCCATCTGACCTGAGAGATTAAACCGTTTCACTACCCCAGGCCTAAAACTGTGCTGCTTTAACTTCTGTCCCCTGCCTTTCCTGAGTTTCTTCGAATGACCGACCCCAGAACTTTCTGTAACTGAGGACTACACATGTTGCCAGAGAGTTACATTAGAAATGTGTTTGCTCTGGATGTAACTAGCTATTTAATGCGAGGTCAAATCCTAAAGGCCAGACTTCCCTCTTCTCAACTCTTGATTTCTAGAACAAAAGTATGTCTCACTCTTGTTTCCGCCCCAGTCTAAGATGGAAGCGTTTCTGTGGGGATGGTTCTTGGGGCTTCCAGTGGCAGGGCCACAGTCCCTGCCCATCCCCTCGATTGACCTGCCTTTTTCATCTTTCTCAAGTTATGCCCCATGTCCAGCCTGGTTATGTTAGCTTCTCCAAATGTGGTAGCCAGTTAGTATAAGTCAGAAGATAGGAGTGAATGAAGGATGGTGGGCGACATATCTGATTTCGAGATGACACAGTAAAAATACTCTTCTTTAATATATTCTATAGAAGTGACTTTTCCCCCAAATTTTTTCTATGTTTTCTAGACAACTGGGACTGGACCTGGTGCCTAGGAAAGAGTATGCAATGGTGGATCCAGAGGACATCAGCATTACTGAGCTCTACCGACTGGTAGGTACATGGAACCTTGGCTTACAGCCTCACTGCTAATTTTGTGGTTTCCATGGCATTCTTCATACTTGATTGATTTTATAAGAACAGGATGTTCCAAGTTTAATTTGGAGCAAGTCAAGAGAATTGAGAGCTGAGGTGACCATGCCCCAGGTAAAAAACTGTGGCGCTTTACCTGTTCCAGAATCATATGATGGGCACTACTGAGCTCTCAAGTCTTAGATATTAGGAAGTAAATCCAAAGAAGTTTTAAGTTCTTTTGCACATCTTTGTATATTTTGTTAGTTTAGTGAAATGCCCACAAATCCTATATATTTATCTGTTGTTTTCCAGTACAGTGCTGAGGCTAATGATATCCACTTATTCTTCCCCAAAATGTTACCCCCGCTCCCTGCCCCCATTACCACCATATGCAAAATCCATTGAAAGTGTCTCCTCCATTGTCTGCAACTGCTGATCTTACCCCACCCCTTCTAGACCCTAATCCATCCTCATTTCTGAAGTCTGTTAATGATTCTAAGATGTTTGATCATATTGCCCATCACCTATCACTTGAGTTTTTTCCTAGTTACATGGTAAGTTAAATCTGGTCCAGTCTGCTTTGTATTTAGCCTTGTATCCTTTGGTTTTGGTTTTGGTTTTTTAAAGATTTTATTTATTTATTTGACAGAGAGCACAAGTAGGGGGAGCAGCAGACAGAGGGAGAGGGAGAAGCAGGCTTCCCGCTGAGCAGAGAGCCCGATGCAGGGCTCGATCCTAGGACCTTGGGATCATGACCTGAGCCAAAGGCAGACACCTAACCAACTGAGCCACCCAGGCACCCCTAGCCTTTTATTCTTAATACTTGTATAAAAATTACCTAATTTCCTGATATTTAACTAAGCTCTTTTAAAACCCCAAATCAAAGATTATGGCTGGGAAGGGCTTTCAAAAGCCATTATGCCAGTGTAATTTTACTTCAATATGGTTTCCCATGCGTCTTACTATAATGTTGAAAGGAACAGCACCTGTGGTAAATAGTAGACTCATTTCTGGAAGACCCTGCCTCTTTTGGATAGCTTCCCAAGTGTACAGTAGTCTTCGTAGAATAGTGGGAATAATCTTGACCTGAGATGATCTGGGGCTGAGAAATGTGGGGAAATCACCGGTCGGCCCATCAGAGCTGAGTCTGAGTTTTAGAAAGCAGTTCTACCACTTTCATTTTTTTTCCTTCATCACTGCTCTGCTCAGGTTATTTATCTGCACCTTATTATGTCAGTTGGAATTAATTCTGCCTTCTGTAGAGAATTTCCTTCACATTGAGCTTCTTGAGAGAAATGTTTCGTGAGGCACACCTTTGTGGCATCAGTGCTAAGCAGAAACCACAGTTAAATGTCAGTTGGAGGGAGGGAGAGAAGGAGGAAGGAAAGAAAGTAAGAGTATCTCAAGTTCAAGTTACCCCTCATTCTTGCTTGTATAACAGGTAAAATCTGTGTAAATATGCGAGCCCTGTCCTCCAGTGGAGCATCTTTATTGCAGTTGCTTTCTTTAAGGGATTGGGCATCAAATTTGTCTCTCACTTTTTTAATCTCACGCGACTGGAAGTTTCTTCAGAGTAGGCAGTGTTTTATACTTCCTCTGTCATCCCCAAGATAATCTCGTACAGTGCTTTTGTACTTCATAAGCCATCACTCAGTGTTTTTGAGGTCATCATGGTCTTATGAAAAGACCATGGGTGTAGATCCAAAAAACTAGATTTGAATTCCCTTTTCTCAGGAGTGTGGTCTTGAGCTTATCGCTTAGTCTCTCAGAGCTTCCGTTTCTTCCCCTGTTAAGTAAGGAAATAATTCTTACCATGTTTGTTAGGAAGATTAAATAAGAAATGCCTGTAAGTGACCTTTTCTTGACAGTTCATGTTTGCAGCGCACCTAAGCGTTCAGTCGATTTACATTCCTTGCTCACCTTTATTTCATCCTTATTAGAGAGGCAAGTGGCAAGAATAATTGATACCTTATGTGCCAGATCTTAAGATTAGATCTGGCTATGTTCAATGAAATAAATAGTAGAAGCTTGGATATGATAGAAATTTATTTCTTTCGCAGGCCAGGAGGCAGGAGGTTCTGGGCCTGTGTGTGGTTTCATGGTGTCAAAAGTGATACGGACTTTTTATTTTTCTACCAGACAGTCCATGGCTTCCATCGTTAAGGATACTTCCAAGTTCAGTACAGCTGCAAGAGCTCTGGCCATTACATCTGCTCTCCAGCAGTAGGAAGGAGAAAGACTTGAAAGAGCTGGCCTAGAAATTCCACACGATATTTGCAGTTACATTTCTTTGGCAAGAATGTAGTCACATCCCGTATTTAGTTAAGGATGGCACATACTCGATAAGCAACTAACAGTGTCTGACACAAGTAGATTTTAGTTTTTCTAGTTTGGTTTTGTATGTGTGTGATTTTATCTTTGTTCTTTTCACCTGATGTCTTATATTGGATGGCAAATTGATACCATCTTTTTCAACATTCCGATTGGTTAGTGATGACCGCTGGGAGTGCTATGTTGATACAATTCTGGGCTGGGATCGATGAGCAGTGGCTGTCACTGGTGCAAGGGACTCCCACTGATGAGCACTGACTTCCAGGCCAGGGTGTTTTTCATTTTTAGAGCTCAAATCCTCACCCAAGGTGTTCATTTGTGATTTTCCTTGAAAATTTAGTTTCTCCTGGTAGTGGTCATATTTTACTGTTGGTAAAGCAAAGACAGCAGCCCAAGAAAAACCCAAACTATTATAAGCTGCAGAAGAACCTGTTCTTGGCAAGGCAGCTTCCGGTTCCTGTTTATGTCCTGGCCGAGCAGTAATCAGATTGTCCATCGCGCTGCTCTTTTTCTCTGGGCAGCATAAAAGTGACTGACTATGGTGACTTCACCGGTGAAGTTCACAGGAACCACCGCCAATGCCTTGCCAGTCGTCAGCGTCAGCGTCAGCGTCGTTTTTTTGGTGTTTGTCGTCATTTACAGTTCAAGGGCCATGGCATGCATGCCCCAGTAGGGGATGTTTGATTGATTGTTGGCACTTGTTTTTTTTTTTTACTATGTCTTTTCCATGTCCTATTTGAAACACAAACGTTTGTATCTTGCTAATTCCGTACTGCATCTTTAGAAGAAGAAAAGAAGTCTTGCTTTAGGTTTTGGATAATCTTGTTAGTAGATCTTTCTCACCTAATTATGTTCATCTAAGCAGTAAAATGTGCTAAACCTCACAGTGTTAACATATGTCCACTTGGAACATTTGGTTTTCTGCCAAAGGCCAGATCCCAATCCTCCTGTAAATAAAGAGAGCCTTAGCTAGATTCTCTGTTTATCTGTGCACACAGAGCATCTTTTTATAAACCTTTCTTGGTTTTATAAGATCACGTTAACTAACTGCTTTATGATCCTTAGTGGGTGGACCAGAGATTCTCAAACAGAGAGCAGGGGACATTTGACAATGTCTGGAGACATTTTTGGTTGTCACAATTGGGGGGTGGGTGGATGGAGGTGGGGAGAGGTGCTTCTGGGTCTGATGCATAGAAGCTAGAGAAAGCTGCTGAACATTGTACAAAACCCAGGAAAGCCTTCACAACAAGGAAATATCCAGCCCAAATTATCAGTAGTTCTGAAGCTGAAAAACCGTGGTATAAGCGATCTACCCAGTAATTGATACATTATATGAGGATTAAATATTTACATCCCTTCAATAAATCTTTGGAATGAATCTCTTTCTTTTCCAAATCAAGGGTTTAGTTAAACAATAAGCACATTTAGAGTGGCTGGTAGGTGCCTTTGTAAGCATAATTCATTTCACAGATGGATTTTTGTCTGTTTGTTATAACCATCAAATGATAGCCCTTGAAGTGTGAACATGCCTTTTTAATTTTGTTTTTGTAATAATATTTTCACAGAGATATTTTTAGCAGTTCCCCATAGTAGTGAGTTACCAGGAGATAAACAAGTCATCATAACCTACTTACGTCCACATCTTTTGCAGACCTGGAAGAATGGTGGGCGGGTGAAGGGGAGATTTTGGAGCCATTTGTGACGACTTACATCACATGTGGATAATCAGGCTTAGGACAGGCATGCATGCAAAAATCCAAGGTTCAAAGGCAGTAATTTTACAGAAGATGCAGCAATGCATTTTTCAGTCAGCATTGATTTGCATGTCTTTGCATATGATCTCAATCAATAGTTCTCAACCCTCATTGCACATTAGAATCACCTGGGGGAGCTTTTAAAACTATCACTGTCTGGACCCCCATCCCCTGGAAATTCTAATTTAATTGTTCTGGGATAGGTCCTGGGCATAAGTATTTTTTAAAAGCTCTCCTGGTGATTCTAAAGTGCAACCAAGGTTGAGAACCACTGATCTAGATATATTGAATTCCTTGCATGAGTAAAGGAGCTATTTTTTTTTTCTTTTTTGCTCCATTTTTAATGAACGTTCTGACTGATGCTAGCTAGGAGCTTTGCACTGTTTGAAATAAAGATCAGAGGTCTCTAAAGACCTCCTTGAGGTCCTTTATTTAAATAAGGTTTTTATACCTGTTTCTCCCACTCTAGTCCATAATCGTCATTCATTTCTTCATAGTACTTTGTGCTGTTACCTCAACTTTTAAGTATATCAGTAAATAAGTTAGCATTTTCAGAAAATAAAAAGCTTCTTTGTGAATTAAAGAGATACAGTTGTATGAATGTATGATGCTTCTTTTGCTTTGGTAAAAAAAGAATTTTGAAAAGCACAAAATAGAGCAACCTTCTCAGAAAACAAGGCAGAACTATACTTTTTTTTTTTCCCCTATGGTTAGAATTTTCTCTGCAGGAAGGTTTTTCTAGCAATCATCAGTAACACATAACACAATGTTGAGACGCACTTTACAAGAAAGTGGACTCTTCACTTTCTCAGAGAGATGTTCATCGTACCTGTTGAGTATACAGTGATTACAGATGCATTTGCTTAATTGCATTTTTAACCGTTTACCTTTCGAGTACTTCAAATAAAAGATAAAAGCATGAAAAACTTCTCATAATCTCTTCCTGTTGTATTTACAATTGTAAATTTAGATGGTGTTTTTTCCTTTCAAATCTTCGTCAGTCAGAAATTGTTGAACTAAGAAACATAAAAAAAATGGTTCATGTAGAAACAGGGTTATGTGCCTTACCCCTAGGAAAGGATATTACCGCATTACTGTGGAATTAATTCCTGAGTTCTTTTTTTTTTTTTTAAACTGTGAAGTGAGCCAGAAGAGGTGGCCATTAGTAATCTGTGTTAGGAAAGCAAAATTCCTCCTCATTCCCTGTACCTGTTCTGCGAATACACAGTCCTTTGTATATATTTTCCCTGTGCTCTTACCTTGAATCACTTCTCCTTGAAGGTGGTCCAAGAACTAGCTGGACCATGGACTGTTTGTAACTGGTCCAAGTACAAAAATTGTGAGCAAAGGTTTAGAAACCATCATAACATGCTAACATTACCACGACATTTTTATTGTATGTTATGGAAATAATCTGCCTATAATAGGTTAGGGGGAAGAACAACTGGGTTTTTTTCCAGCACCTTGCTGCAGAACCACTGTCCTACATTATTCCTTGCTCCTGCTTCCTCTTTGGGTCTTGGCCAAAGTGTCACTTTCTCAGGACACCTGCTCTGACTGCCCAGACACAAGTCAGATCGCATCCTTCCATAACCTCATGGTAAGCTGGTTCTTCCTCTCCATTTGTCACAGTTGTGGTTTCCCGTCTGCATGCAGGATGATTGTGTTGCTGTCTGCTCCCCCGGTAGATAAGATCCGTGAAGGTGGGGGCTATTTCTGTTTTCTCATCAGTGCATTCCCACTGCTTGGCACACAGGAGACAGTTAACAAGTGTGTGTTGCCTGACTGGTCTCCCCCATGTTCCGTTCACCCCAAAACTATCAGTGATTCCTTTCCTCCTTCACTTGTGTTAATGCCCGCTTCTGATCCTACCCCCCAAGTGTAGCCTCTACTGGACAGGAATGAGATGTGGACATGGGTGTTACTTCTCCCCTTAGCCAGCTCACCGGCTTCCCTTGTCTGCCTCCCTATAGCTCCACGGCAAGTTAGAAACATTTTCTTGCTCTCGTGATTGAATATCACCACAGCATGTCTCAGAAAACTACCATAATTTTGCAATTTCATATACTTTAAAAGGACTTTTAATTATGAAAAATGTGAAATCATGGCTGCATTGTTCAACAACTGTCAGTGAAATGACCAGATACTGTTTAGTCTGTTTTTTTTTTTTTTTAAAGATGAATAATAATTTGTTTTCGCCCTGGAAGTTGATAAGGGAACAGTCGAATCTTTTGACCTTCATGCTGCCTGAACCAACTGAGCAAGTTGGTATCATTTTAACATTAATGATTTAAAACCAAATTCTTGGAGCGCCTGGGTGGCTCAGTCCATTAAGCATCTGACTCTTGATTTCAACTCAGGTCATGATCTCAGGGTTGTGAAATGGAGCTCCATGTTGGGCTCTGTGCCGGGCGTGGAGCCTGCTTACGATTCTCTGTCTCTCTCCCCCTTTCCCCACCTCTCCCTCAATAGATAGATAGACAGACAGATAGATAGATAGATAGATAGATTAGATGATAAAACAAACCAAATTCTTAAAGCAAGATTCCTTGATGGTCTGCAGACTTCAGGGTTTCTTATTTTAGAAGTTGGAAGAAAATTTGGAGTGTATCATCCAACCAGATGCCAAATCCACAGGGGGGTTAAAAAAAAAAAAGGTACCACCAGACATCATAATCATATGATAGCTAACTAGTTTGTTGGATCACATTGTTTTCTTCAGTCCATGCTGATCATGTTTTTGTTGGGGCGTGTTATTCAGATGGAGCACCGACATCGGAAGAAAGACACCCCAGTGCAGGCCAGCAATCACCACCTCTTTGTGCAGATGAAGAGCCTCATGTGTTCCAACCTGGGGGAGGAGCTCGAGGTCATCTTCTCACTCTTCGACAGTAAAGAGAATCGACCAATCAGGTAACTGCATATGGAAACATGCCTAGGATTTCTGCATGTTGCAATGGTGAGCATTTGTAATTGGCAAGCTTTGGAATATAGGACCTTGTATATTTTCCCTCTGTGAGCCGCAATTTTCTCATTTGTAGAACTCTTTGAATTTCTAACCTGCCTACCCTCTGGAGGTTCCCATGAAAGTTAAATGGGGTGATGCATACAGAAGTTCTTTGAAAAACTCAAAAGGGTTGTAGAACCATGATAATTATTACTAAATGAAAGTATGTCATTAATATCAGGTCTGTTATTTGAGTTACTTTATATTGATAATGCAAGGAAGACAATATTTCTAAAGTGCAAAGTTGGTTTGCTTATCAAGGTCAACACATTGTATTTTTCAAATTTGCAGTAAACAATTGCATTATTGTTGTCTTCCCTGTGTTAGATAATATCAAGAGGGGGGTAAGTACTTGGAAACCATCCCATTAGAGTCTCAGAGCTGTAAAATGGTAAGCTGTTTCAAATATACTCTTTTTTTTTTTTCCTTAGTTCTCAGTGTCTTCTCTTAGGGCAAGTTTTTAATATTTAGGAAAAACCTGTAGTGGATATTTTGGTTGTTATTCAAAAGCCTCTACCCTTGTTGAGATTTTTTTATGTTTCAAGTTTTTTGGTGTTTGCTTTAAAGTTGAACACAATGCTTGCCACCTTTTACATTAAAAAAATTAAATTTAGAATTAAAATTATATCACACAAATCACACATGACCCAACTTTACCATGTTTTAAAAAATGATGCTTATTAAAATGCTGACAATTTTAAGCAACTCTGAGCCACATACAGTGTTTAATAAATACAAAATAATTCTGGAGTATTTCTCTCCTGGTTAAAAAAATATATATATTTTTAGGTAGCAAGGACAGAATTTATAAGATGTGTAATTAACAATGATAATAGTTTCAAAATCTACTTTATACGCTTTTGAAGGAAATGAATCGGTAAGTTAGAAACACAAACCAGTAGTGCTAAAAAGGGAAGAAAATAAAGTCTTGAAAAACAGATCCAAATTGCAGCTTAGCACTTGCTTTAGAAATGTGAAAGATTATTTAGAGATAATACTTGCTAACATATTGACGAGTGTCTTAGAGAGCTTGGTTTCCAGATAGTTTAACAAAAATTCCCCATAACATTGTCTATATAACATGTTGTCTCTAAAATATTTAACAAACTATAGGAAAAGTAAAAGGGAGTCATGAGGTCACTCTTCTACTCATTCCTGTTAAGCCAAGGTTTTGAAGACTAAATTCCCCTTTGCCACTAATGTTCACATTGCATCACCACAGGAATGTGTTAATTTAGAATTAAAATTAGCTGCTCTCTTAGTTTTGTTATAAACATTTTGAAATCTCCTAAAATATCCTTTTAGGTTTTAAGCAACAGAGTTCCCCTTCTTTTATTCCTATGTGCTTGATGAAAGTAGGAAAATAACCTGGGTATAGGATCCCCAAAATATGTTTTTGTGGTCTCCAAGTTCAGACCGGGAGTTGGACCTTTTTTCTGCTCTGTGACATGGCTGGGCTCCCATATGTGCCCGCCTCTCCCTTCGCCTTCCCCGCTTTTCTTCCTCTTCCCCTCTCCCTGGCCTCTGTCACACACACTTCTCTGATAATCCACCTGAGAAGTCATGACCCTAGAAGACATCAAGCCTGAGTCCTTCTTCACTGCTTCTACATCGTAATCATCGTAAAGATGCTGAGCAAAAGAATAAGTAAGAATAAGTAGATATGCTTACGAGGTGATGGAACAGTTTCAGATTTATTTTCTTGCTTTCTGAGACCTTGGGCAGCACAACGATTATTCTTTTAGGGAATTTTCAGAACCCTGCTGTGAGTAGCTTTGGTTCCATTGATGGCACAGGGCAAGTCACCATTACCCTTTGAAGGGGCCTTAGGATACGCAGATCTGGAGACTGGACTTGACTCTGCTCTTTGCTGTTGACTGCAGCTGCCCTGACCCCTTCACTTGCCTCTGTCTTTTCATTCATCTTGGAACTGGTGACAAACTGGCTTCTCTCATGGCTCCCAGCCTAGCTTAGAAGTGTAAAGTATTTTGCATCTTTTCAGAAAAAGGTATCACAAAGGTAAGATATGATTTTGAGACCTTGTGTTTCTTCTTAGGCCTAACAGTGTGGGATGTGTGGGTATTTTAAAACCAACTTGCATTTCTTTTTTAAACTTTTTTTTTTTTTTCCTTAGAAAATTTCAGATGTGAAAAGGTAGAATAGTATCATAAAGCCTCAGGTACCTGCCTCCAGCTTCAACAGTGATCAGCTCAGACCTGGTCTTATTTAAACCACACCCCTTTCCAGTCCTCCTCATTGCCTCCAGGTTATTTGGAGGCAAATACCAGATATCCTATTTTCAAACGTGGGTATATCCCTAAAAAGAGGAATTCCAAAGAAATTACTACCTAAGAAATTAATATTCCCTAATTTTTTAAAAAAGAATTTATTTATTTATTTGACAGACGTCAAGAGAGGGAACATAAGCAGGGGTAGTGGGAGAGGGAGAAGTAGGCTTCCCGCCAAGCAGGGAGCTAGACATACGGCTCGATCCCCGAATCCTGGGATCATGACCTAAGTGGAAGGCAGACACTTAACGACTGAGCCACCCAGGCACCCCTTAATATTCCCTCATGATCAAGTATCCATCTCCAGCCAGCCTTTAGTTTTCCCATATTGACTCATACAATTTTACAAATTCCTTATCTGGAATTAGCACTTACCTGCAACCCTTATCTGCAATTCCAAATTCCTTATCTGGAATCTGGAATGCCAGATAAGGAATTTGTAATTTATAAGATCCAAATCAAGCCCATGTATTACAGCTGGTTGATAAGTTTCGCAAGTCACTTTTTAGCTAAAGTTTCCCTCCCTCTCTCCCTCTTAAATTGTCTTGCAATTATTTTGTTGGGGAAACTGATAATTAGATTTTTTTTTCTTTTTCTGAGTTCCATGTTCAGTCCAAACAATGTAAATCTGTAGACAAAAGGAGGTATATTTAAGAGAATGCTTTTGTTGTTAAAGATCATGACTGCTATAATATAGAAAAAATAAGACACATCCCAAGTATAATATTTATAGCATTGATCCTGACCATTAATCACAGGAAGTTACCTTGTCCAGGTGTAGGTGGACGGGCCAACATGGGCTAAGTCGGTGGAGGTGTGGTGAGGAGCAGTAGATGTTTGTTCCTCCCACAAGGCAGACAACTGGTTGGGACTTTTTTTTTTAACCTTTCCGCCTCTAAGAAGCAAACGGCCAGCATTTACTGAGCACAAACCATTTTCCAGACTTCATTCTAAATGCTTTAAAAGTGTTGTCAGCACTGATACTGTAGGTGAGGAAACCAAGGCACGGAAAGTTTGCATAGTCAACCGGGGTTAGAATTTGAGAGACTGATAGTTTTTTTTTTTTTTTTTTTTTAGTATTATTTATTTATTTGACAGAGAGAGAGATCACAAGAGCCAGAGTTAGAACTTCAGAGACTGATAATCTTTTTTTTTTTTAAGATTTTATTTATTTATTTGACAGAGAGAGAGAGAGATCACAAGTGGGCAAACGGGGGTGTGGGGGCAGGCTCCCCACTGAGCAGAGAGCCTGATGCGAGGCTCAATCCTAGAACCCTGAGATCATGATCTGAGTCGAAGACAGAGGCTTAACCCACTGAGCCACCCAGGTGCCCCAGAGACTGATAGTCTTAATAATAAGTTGTTATAAATTATTGATAATGATAATACTAAACATAGAGCCTCAAAAATGCTCTGTGCTACAGAAACTGGTTTTCTGAATTGAGTCCTTCTCAAATACTTTAAGAAAAGCAAAGTAACGTTGACTCTTACTGTGTGCCAATGATAAGTAGGTTAGTAGTACTTGGAGATGGCAAATGCAAAAGGAGACAACATATGAAAATCCTCCCCTTCTGGTTCAACTCAGCGGAACAGTGACCCACATGTATATCTACAATACCAGGAAGGGTACGTTTTCCACCGAAAAACTTAAATTGTCACTAAAGTTGGGTCATACTTAGAAAGCCCATTAATTTTCTCTCAAAAAAATTTCTACCCGGACATGTTCCTGAACGTTAGGCCTCTCATGCAAGACAACTCTTGCTGTAAGTAATCACAAAGACTTAGTCAACCTCTGATGCCATCTTGCTCACATACACCTACCATGTTCTTCCTGTCCAGCTTACCTACCTCAGTTGCTTGTGTAACAGCACCAACCGAGAGCTCCCTGCACATAAAGCTACATTGGACTCCACTCTCAGCAAATATAACATATTTATATATATTATAAATTATATATTATTTATATATATATTATATATATATATTATATATAACATATATATATATATATATGTTATATTATATATAACAAATATAACTTTGATTTATTGGAGTTTTGTACAGTCCTGACAGTTATATAATTAGTAAAAAATGAATTTGATAAGTTAAGTTTTGTATGAGTGAAGTGGTTTTAGAGAATATCTGTCTTGTTGAAAGTTTGTAATTTCTCCACTCTACAAGGGTATAGCTGGGAAAGCCAGGCAGTCATTTCCCCAGATATCCTCTGTAATTTTGTTTTATTTTCTTCTTTTCTATTCTGTTTATTTAACAAAGCACTTACATAATGCTTATGATGTGCCAGGCACTGTTCTAAGCTTTTTAAAAAATATTTACTTATTTGTCTCTTGTAACAACCCTATGAGGTAGGTACTGATACTATCCCCATTTTTTATGGATGGGGAAACTGAGGCATAGCATGATTAATAGGTGACACAGCTAGTATGTCGTGTGGCCGGATCTTAACTTGCAGCCTTGTCAGGTGTCAGTACTCTGAGTCATTTTTCTATACCCAGTCTCCTCATCTTTAGGACTTAATATACCCTGTTTTCTTCCTCAACCAAGTTTTACTCACCAGTGTGTGGTAAGGAGTCTGTTGAGGGTTTGTTTTTTTAAGAAAC